ATTCACATTGCTGTGATGCAACAAAAAATTAATAAAATAAAGCAACAATTACTGTATATCAAACCTTGCATAAGAATAATTTTTCATAAACATGTGAATATGTCTTAGCATAAGAGAAAGAGTCTACAATGATATTTGATATTTTTCAACAAAAATATGGCATTGCATAATTACAAAAAAAAATGAATTCACAAAATCAAGATTATGAAAATTTCTAACTTAAAGAGACCAAAGCATAAGATAATTATAGAATGCCATGATAATTATCATGCAAAAGAGACCAAAGCATAGGATAAAAAATCATGCAAGGTAATGAATTATTATGCAAATAAAATATGTGGAAGTATATCTAAATTACATTCCAAGCATATAAAAAATATGCAATAGTAGAAAATTAAATTATCGGTAGCAGTTATATGTCAGTCTCTTTATCTAAAATTTCAGCAATAATTATTCTCTCTCTAAAATTTCAGCAATAACTCTCTCTCTCTTTCTTTAAAATTACTGCAGCATATAGATGATTGAGATTGCCGAAGATGATTTTGCAAGATTACAAGAAAAATAAATTTTAATTGGATGCTGATCTAAGAATTTTTCTTAAAAAAAATATGACATTCACTAGAATAAATATCAAGTAATAAAGGTTTTGAAAGGAAGCGGTGAACTGAAGATGGTACTCAATCCTATACGTTGTGCAAGGAAAACTTAATGCAGTGAAATAGTGTTTACAAAATAAAACCAGTTACTGTGAAATTTTACAATAACGTAGTGAATTTCAAATTTTCAGTGAATTTCAAAGTTTCAGTAACTTTTCAATTGGCAAGGTAGTGTTTTGAGCAAATAGAGCCACGTAGCCCATATAGTTTTAAGACAAATTTGATTGTTAACAATGTGTTATTGAAACAGTTCAACAAAAAAAAATAATTTGTTTCCACTACAGCACGCTCAATCAGTAAAGATTAAGAGATTTGTAAAATACCGATAAAAGAAAACTTTTCATTCACAACTCTCTAATTTTTTGTATGTCAGTGCGTATTTAGGTTGAAAAGTCGAATCAAAATGTAGGACAACTGATGAGCACGCTTAACATCAATCTTCTTCTAAGTTTTTAATTCAAGATGCTTATCTAACTGGGTTCTCTTCTTAGAGTGAGAAAATTGTCAACCGAATGGAATTGGCTTATGAAATCAACAATCTCAAAGATGAGAAATTTCAACATAGTAAATAGAGAATTGATATCGAAGAAAAATTAATTTTAAGAGAGATATTGTGCAATAAAATACAAATGAAACCAAATAATCGATTTCGATCCTAGGACCTGTGGGTTATGAGCCCACCATGCTTCTACCAACCTCGCTCTGATACCAATGTTGGATTATGAAGGAAGAGATGGATCCCTAAATTCTCAGGATTAGGGGCACTGTCGTGAGATTGAGGATCGCAGAATGGAAGATTTTTCTAAACAATAAAAACTCAAAGCTTCTCTGTATATGCCTTTCCATGGCCATGAAAGGCCTAGTTATAGAGGATGGTGGAGGTCGTTCTCCAACGTTCGGGCTTTCTCCTTAAAACTCTGAGAAACGTTACCTTAATCTTAAAGTGCAGGGCAATGTAATGATAGAGGTAGACTTACATGGCTCACTACTGGGTCTTTAGGTAAGGAGGTGGCAGTCAGGAAAAGGTCCAAGATCCCTCCTAGGAAGTTTAGAACTTCTTCAATTTGATTTTATGATTTGAGCATCTTATTTCAATTACCCAGATATCTAATTCACTAAATTACTACATTTATATTTATATGAAATAAGTGCATGGTGGATGGGTCATGGGGGAAGCACCCTTTATTTGTAACAGATGGCAATGAAAATACTAAATCTGACTTGCAGCTCATCTGGATGTGAGCGCAACTTCAGCTCTTTTGAAATGGTAATATTCTTTATTTACTTAATAATTAATAGTTAATTTCATACATAGTTAGTTAGTAGTTACTTACATGGTAAGGTATTAACTGAGCTTTCTTCTATTAGGTGCATACAAAGAAGAGGAACAGCCTAAAGCAAAAGTGATTGAACAACCTAGTCTTTATTTAGTATAATCAGAAGTTGCAAGAGTCATCGACATTTGGAGCACAATGAAACAATGTTTTAAAAAACGGTCCGCCTAGCGCCTAAGTGCTTGCCTACACGGCTTGGATAAAAAATCCACACGCCTAGACCCAAGCGGCCCAATACGGATGGATGTACCTGGGCAGACGCCCAGGCAGGCCCCTAGGCGGGCGGCCAGGGCCTTAAGGCCCTTTTCTTTTTTTAAATCTCCCAAAAGAACAAGGGGGTCATTTTGACCCAAGGTTGTACAAAAACGTTATGTGGTTTACTTTTAACCCCCAAAGTGGAAAAAAAAAAAACCCCTTAATATATGAAAACCTCCAAAGTGAAAAAAACTATAGGGAACCCAAGGTTCTGGACGCCCGCCTAGGTGTTGGACGCCAGGCAAGCCGCCTCGGGGCCACCCAACGTTTTTTGAAACCTTGCAATGAAAGGGAAGTTATTGAAGTTGTTGATATTGATGACAGATGGGAATGGCTAGTTGATGCCGATGATGTTGAGGTATTCCCAATGTTAACAAAAGCGGACCGCCCAATGCCTAGGCAATGCCCACGCCTAGGCGGTTTGGAACCCCGCCTAGGCGGGTGGCCTTAGGGGCGGAATTTTTTTTTTTTTAGTTGTATTGATTTTTTAAAAAAATATAAAGGGTTTGAAGGAGGGATTTTAGGTTCATTTCTAACCTAAACCCACAAGAACCTATTTTAGAGAGAAAGAAACTTAAAAAAAACTAAATTTTGTGACTTTCATTGGATCACAGTGCTTTCTCAAAGTTACGAAAAACGGATCCAAACATCATCTCAGTAAAACGGATCCAAACATCACCCAATTAGATTTTATTTAGTTTTGGAGTTTTATAATCCTATTAGAGGTTTTTTATTATTTTAGCACCAGAAAACATCTCAGAGGTGAGAGTTTGGAGTTCGAGCAATCAAAGTAAGTGCAAAAAATTATTTTTTTGATTGCTTGTTTTATTTTGAGATGTCTTCTTCACGATCTAGTCAAAGTGGAGATCCGAGTTGAAAATATGGAAATAACTCGAATCCAAATGGCAAAAATGCAATTTTTGTGAAAAAGATACGAAAAGGGGAATAAACCGGTTTAAGAAGTATCTTGTTGGTATTAAGGGGGATGTTACCCCTTGTAAAAATGTTCCTATAAAAAAGGAGATTAAGCAATATATGAGTTTTGTAAAACAAAAACAGGAACAAAATCCTTGTCATTTGAATAGATCTATTTCTTCTACTTCTAGAAGAAGTGATCCGGGTTGGAAGTATGGTTATAATCTAAAACCAAACGATAAAAATTATATAAGGTGTAATTTTTGTAAAAAAAAAATACCAATGAGGTATTAACCGATTCAAGAAACACCTTGCTAGTATTAACGGGAATGTTGCTTCTTGTAAAAAGGTTTTTGAAGCTATTGTGGATAAGATTAGACAACTTCTAAATTTAAAAGAACCAGAAAATGATAAAAATAAGCATTGTTCAACGGAAATATCTTCTCCAGGTTCTTCTATAAGTAATGATTCGAGTTGGAAGTATGGTTGTAACCCGAATCCGAATGACAAAAATTGTATTAAATGTAGTTATTGTGAAAATGATATTTATGGTGGTATTTACCGATTTAAAAAACAACTTGCCGGTATTAAAGGGGATGTTGCCCCGTATAAAAATATTCATGACACTACCATTGAGAAAATTATACAATATTTGAGTTTAGAGAAGCACAGAAAGATAGAAAAGAGTAGAGAAGCCAAGACTCCTAAGGCCTCATCTGCACATACAAGTAAGAGAGAGGTAGAAAAAGAGGAAGAAGAAGCAGATTCAGAAGAAATAGAGGAGAACGAGCGTTATATTGAAGAGGGAGATGACTCTGATTATGATTGCCTCGATTCCGATGCATATGATGAAGCTGACCCTATTCTTTCTGATGGTGTTGAGTGTTAATTGTTGTGTTATCTATTGACTATTGTGTGTTAGACTGTATATTTTTTGAATTTTTGTATATTTTCTTTTTCTTATTTTTAGTTTCTACTTTCTAATTTCTAATTCTACTAACTTTTGTGTGTACAATCTACAGTGTATCAGACTATCAGTGTATGCTTGTATGGTTTTATTGTTTTAACGTTGTATGAAAATATGGATTATGGTCTTTATGGATTATCAAAATTTTCTTCTGAACTTCTATCTTTTTTTTTTTAACTAGGTTTTATTGTTTTAGCATTGTATCAAAATTTTTATGGATTATCAAACTTCTTATGGATTAATCATTATCAGTCATCAGTCACTCATCAATTTTTTTTTGTTTTCAACTGAACCACCCAGATTCTGTACGACCGCCTAGTCGCTGTGCGGCCTGGACCCCCATGGCTGCTTGGGGACCGCTTAACGCTTTTTGAAAGTACGGGTATTCCTTGGAGAGTGCTTGACTTGGGGCCAGGTTCATGAAGCTGCTGGAACAATAATGCCCCTTGTGCGTACCACTCGGGTTCAATCTCTGAGTTTTTGTAACCGTAAATCTATTATGGGACTCTATAATATCATGTTTGCTCTTTTTCATGAAGGATTTGGAGCTCTAAAATTGCTTTAAAAACTCCCTACGGCCTAAAACCCTGCCCTAAGTACTCCTTAATCCTTGTTTAGGGGAGGGGGGGTTTTGTTTTGGGGGCGGATCCCCTGTTCCTAGGCGAGTGCTTGGCCAGCTATGCGGCCAGTCCCCGAAAATGCCTTGGTACCCGCCTGTGCTTTTTTTAACATTGAATACACTTACATTTTATTAGATTGCCTCTACAATCACAAACCATTAAAACAGAAAACCAAAGACCAGTACTAGAATAGACTCTAGTATAGATCCTCATAGACACAGAGCCGCAACTATCATAAAATTCTGCATTCCACTAGATTATGGCCACAATTACACCTGCAAGATAATCATTTTAATTATTGGCAATTATGCCTAAGGTATATTTTTCTCAACCTTTTCTAATATCATGAGAACCTGCACACAAACCTAATCCAAAGTCTAAGTGGAAAGAACAAAAAAGAGAGTAGCGACCAGCTTAATATTCACAGGGCAATCATTATTGCGTACAGCTTCAGCTTTCGTCACAGCTAGCTATGGAGAAACAAACGATATGCGGTAGCAAAGAAAGTTAATGAAACCTCACTTCACAGAATCCATTAGTCGAAAAGAACAAAATTCATTAACAGAAATGTATATTCCATCAAGTGGAGCTCCATAATCAAGCTTGGACGAAACACAGACCTTAATATGGACGACCCATCATATTGGAAACATTTCCTTATCTTCCCTTATCTTCAATGGTCATAGGGTCATATGCCTTCGAATATTTTTTATTAGAGTATCTTCATCCTCTTCAGCTATTGCTGGCACCACCTCTGGAATCTACAATAACTTTTGAGTAAGATTTGCTTCTATGATATTTTAACAGCATAGAAAAAAATGGCAGTTGTTCATAGCATTACCACCTGTCCATCAGGTCCAAATTCTTTGGACTTCCCGGCGGTTAAGGGATTTAGAACTGAATGAGGGCTAGTTACAACTTGCAGAATATTTTAACAGCATAAAAAAAATGGCAGTTGTTCAGAGCATTACCACCTGTCCATCAGGTTCAAATTTTTTTGACTTTATGGGGTGAGGGAATTTAGAACTGAATGAGGGCAGTTACAATCACTTCAAATGCGTCATAATTCAGAAAAAAGTTTTAAGTATTCATCAAATATTGCCAACAGTTTCATCTTGTACAAGAAGCAGATTGCAACTTACCTTAAAAGCATGTTGATATTTTTGGTACAAGGGCCAAATCGCATGGATGTAAAGGTCCTGTCCAAACAAATATTCAGAAATAACACCTTGTAATGTTGTCATTTTAGTCTTGTTGAACCTAAGGAAAAATAAGCTTTGCTAGAATGTAGTATGCCAACTGAAGACTAGAAAGCTACATTACCTATACAACACAAATGCAACAAAGGATAAAGAACCCAACTGCTCTAAAACAAATGGAGATAGTTCACTTAACAGAAACAAAGTTTGAACTTTTTTTTTTATAACATTGTATTGATGGAAGAGAGAAAACAAAGAGGACCCAATGAGCCAAAATTCAGCGTGTCACCGAGGCGGGTGACCAAAAAGATAAAAAAGACAAAAAAAAGACTATAAAACAGCCAAAGCCACTGAACACAGTAGGGGAAGAAACAAAAAAAAGTAGATCCATAAATATAAATATCAACAGTAATACATAATAAACATGCAACAGGCACTATCAATATATGTCAGTCAGTTAGAAATAGGCCTGAAACTCAAATAGTTGAACCACCACATTAGGAAAGCTGGGCACCAGGTGACTTAGGCATGTTAGAAACTTTTACTAATATTAGCATAGGGTTGGGATACATTTATCAAATATTCCTAGACATGAAATATTCTATATTTTCTCCATTGTTTTCATTTTTTTTTCTTCTATTTTTTCCATTGCCATGAGATATCCTTTTTTTCTTAATTGTTTATTTCGCCTTATATTTTTAATTTTACTTAAAAACAATTTTCCAAATAGCCAAGCCGTGCCACTCTTGACTCATGTATTTGTGGATAACGGCATTCCTCTAAGTTAGAACCCGTATTTAAAAACTCAGGCTCGAACTCGCGAGGGTCCTGGGCTTGAATCACCCAACCCAACTCGCCAAGTAAAAAGAAAATGCCAAAAATATTTAAAATTATTAAAAATCATCAAGCATGTGAAATATAACAATATCTTATTCAGAACTATGTTTTGAGATGATTTTTAGGATGATTTGGGAACTTTTTTTATTTTTCCCTTCATTGATTTTTTTAAAATATACAAGGTATAAATCAAAATTTTCAATAATTCATCTTTTATATATTTTGTTCATCTTCTATAGTCTTTTAATGATTTCTATTACCTTATTTTTACATTTTGCTGATGTTTTAACTATTTTTAAGAAGTTTTACATTGATTCTGATTTTTTAAACATTTTTTGGGGTTTTCATATCTCGGCAGAGTCCAATCACACTCGGCCAAGTTATCTGGCTATGGCCAAGGACGAGGACCTAGCCCAAGGTAACTCAAAAAACACTAGTTTGGAACATAGGATTGTCTAAGGGGAGGGTCTATAGCACCAGAATTTGAATTTTAGCAGCAAAAATGAAATTTGAATGCCAGGAAAAAATGTCGACCTCAATGATTTGCGCTTCCATGATGCCATGACAAATTCAGGTTCATGAATGATGGATGGCCATCCATCTCTAGCCAGTTAACTCCAGTCTCCTTTCTAACTCCTCTATAATTCATTTTCTCTCTCGGCTTCCCCCCTTCTTCCCACTTTCCAGCCCCAAAGTACATATCAGACGTAAGTATGAATGTTGCATTGTCTATAGGTTGGTCCATGGCTCTTCCATCTTCACATCCCAATGAAAATGGTATGCCCCTAAGAATGTCCTCCATATGGACATATAAGGTTCAACATAGTGATCTGAGACTCGGCCGAGTACGTCCTCTTTGAGTTTTGGGCAAGTAGGTTGTACAACATGTTTTTTAATTTAATTATATTCAATGTTCAAAAATTCAGCCATGGTTAAATAATTAAAAAACGCCTAGACAATGTCTGGGCAAAGGCATTATGCGCCCTGTCTCTGGGCGCCCACCCAGGAAGTCAAGGAGCCGCCTAGGCGTTATTATTTGAGTGCCCAACTAGGCGCCACCCCGTGGCACTTTGTGGGCGGAAAAAACCCTCGATGAGGATCAAAAAATGTAATTTCCCCTTAAAAGGGGGGGAAAAGGTTTTGAGAGGTATTCTAAATCGCAAAACAAATATCGTGGCCCATAGGGTGAAAAAAAAAAGCCCAAAAACCTTTTTTTTGGTGATTTATCGAAAGATTGATAAATTTTTATTTTTTCAATTTCGTCCTAAAACAAAGGCAATAGTTTGTGGGTTGAGTATTATCATATTTGAAAGAGGGTTTTAATTTTATTTTGCTACAAGATATTATGTTTTGAATCATGTAGTATTTTTTATTTTACGATATATTTACATGTTTGTGGTTAAAAGATTGATTTTTTTGTGATTAATTGAATTTGTTCTCATTTGCACGATGAAATTGATGATATATCGTATTATTTGAAGCTTGTATCCGTCAATATGTTATGTGATTGTACTATTACATTTTTGTCTATTTCACAAGAAGTTTGGGGCTCTAAAATTGCCCTAAAAACTCCATAAGGCTTAAAACCATGCCTTAAGAAATCCCTTTTTTTTTTGTTTGGGAGGGGGTTTCAAGTTTAGTGAGGCACCCTGTCACTGAGCGTCGGCCTGGCCCCTAGGTGGCCACGCACCCAAAACGCCTACACAGCCAAATCCACATTTTTGAACATTGATTATATTGATACCTCAAATTTGAGCCAGATGAGCTAGAATGTCTTTCCAATTAACCCTAACGCACAAATTTCAATCCCGTTAAGATTCGAATCCCACTATAACATACAACTTTTTGCACCACTTGTAAAGGCATTATTTTTTTTAATTCTAGAAAAATGTAGCCCCCATTAGAATGAAATTCAAGAACCCTTGTAAACAAGTCCACTTATGCAGGGGGAACTAACCAACACGCAAGTCTACTGGTTGGTTAATATAAGTGATTTCGCCTACCCTCATCATCGTCCAAAGTTTATCGCACGGTCACGATTATCCGATTGTGTTTTATTTTTCATTTGTTTTTTCTAAAAATCGAAATGATTTGAAATTTGGAACATGTGTACATCTTAGTAAGACACACCTAATACAAATATAAAAAAAAAATTTACAAATTCTTTTTGACCAAAATACCCCCAAAACTTTTCAAGGGTATTTTGGTTAATTTTTTTCATGTAAAATTTTTTTTGTATATACCGTTAAGGCCAGGAGAGCCGCTGAGGTCAAAAAGACATAAGAAGTAGCCAGAAAAAGCACTCATTCGCAACCTAATGATGGCAAATTTCATTAGGAATCTATCAAGTAATGCACTGCCACAAGCTAATAATACTCTAAAAATATAAAACAAAAAAGAAGTTATAATAGACAATATTGAAAAACAAATAACAAATTGGAATATACCTAAAGTACCTATTTCAGATATATACAATACAGGAACTTTTAAATTAAAAGTAGGTTATGCAATAAAATTTGTAGAACAAAACGTATCAGTAACTAGTAATCAATAAAACTTTCAATTATTATCAGATAAAATAATACAGGTATATAAAACTAAAAACTATAATTATTTATATATAGGTTTAATCCAAGTAGCTATTAAACCTTTAACAAGGTTAGGATTAAATAATTCCATCTTGGTATGTTTAAGAGACAATAGACACAATAGGTTTTCTAATTCCCTATTAGGAATTATAGAATCAAGTCTATGTAGTGGACCTGTATATTTTAATTGTTTTCCAGATTATTCAATATCATTAACTGATCCTAATATCTTAAAAGTATTATCATTAAATATTAAAACCCAAGGTTTCGATGCGTTACCAGAATCCCAAAATATCGCTATTGTATACAAAATATATTATAAAGTAATGAATACATTATGCCCAAATGCTGTCCAAATAAATACCAAAGGAAAAACCACCTTCTTCCAAACAAATATTGAAAAATCAAATGTAATAATTCCTAAAACTACACAATGATCAGATATTAAATTACCAGAATCTTGGAACATAGAAAATGAAAATCATCATTTAAAAGCACCTAATAGAAATATTCCTGATAGAATAATAGAACACCAGGATGGAAAAACAGAAATCCAATTTCCCAATCAACAAATGAAAGATGATACAAGTATACTTCGTCAATCTATATTATCAAAAAATATTAGTGATCTATGAGAGCTATTGAATGAAATTCATATTCTTGATTAATAATAAATTTAACTATAACAAACCATTTTTGAGTTATAACTTTATTTAGTATATTTACATATGTATTCATATCTATTTCTTCTATTTTTGTTCCTGATGACTCAGGTGTATCTACTAATTGGATGAATTCAATTTCATCTGAATCAGTTATTTCTCTATTAACCTCATTCTGTAATTCCAATATTTTAATTCTATTTTTTAGATGATTTATTTCTATTTTTACTTCATTGACTTCTTGTTTTAGTTCAGCTATAGTAGGTTCTTTTTGTATATTTTCTTTTTGATTAATTCTTTTCATTATATCAGCAAAATTATATTCATCTGGGGGTTTGAGTAAAGTTGTAGATTTAGGTTTAGATTTTGCAAGATTAATAAACTGAGTTAGGATTTCTCTTTTCTCATCAGGGTTATTTATCTTATCTATGATATCTAAGATTAATGAATCTTCTTTTGATAACATATTACAAGATGGCATATTACAAGAACATTTCATATCAAAAGAGCTTGAAATTATAATATTATCATTTTCTATTTGTCCTATAAGAGAAATATCACTACTAGTATCATTTTCTGAACTTGAGGTAGATTCTTCTTTATCTAATTGGATAATATCATATATTTGATTTCTTATGTTTTCATCTAATATGATTGCATTTAATTTTTCTCTAACCTTACATGTATTTTTATAATGACCTACTTTTTCGCATTTATAACAACTAGGTATCTTCTTTTTGCCTTTTCTATATTGATCTTTGAGCAAGAATTTTTTGATATATTTTTCTTTTCTCTTTCTCTTAGGACATCATATTTATCCTGGAACAATTATCCCAATAGAAAGATTTATTCAATTTGCTAATAAATTTTCAGATATTATATTAGTTAAAATTGAATTACAAAGATTTTTAGG